AACAAGGAATAATTTTACATAAAAGCAAGTTTGACTTCAAGTCACTATATTTACATTTTCTGAGGATATAAACACTGATCATAACTTCGTAGTCAGTTGAGTTCTTTGACTACACCTACTTTACAAGTATCTTTGAACCTCTGTGCATCTTTGTCTTCGAGAGGTTTACTCGCCCACTGTCTCTGGGACCTCAAAAATAACCCAAATGCTCTAGCCCCTAACTCTTCTGCTTCCAGAACAGCTTTATATAGCCCTCCTAAAACAAAAACAAATGCAGTACATCATCAAGATCATCAATAAAATTTCTTTTTAGAGATAAATATATGCATACAGACTTCAATTCAAATGTTTTACACATACCTGAAATGGATACATGGGCTCCTACATACTTGTCCTCAGCACTATTTGCCCACTTGTACTTTGCAACATTTTTTTCCCATTTTGAAATTCTATGTTCCTCTGCATCTTGTTTCTGTTTTTTACCCATTTGAACTTTAGGAGCAGGATCATCCACCCCTGTGCCTTTATGAGTCTCTGTTTTATTACCCCTCCCTCTCTTTTTGTCCGGTTCAGCTGGATCATCCACCCCTATGCCTTTGTGAGTCTCTGTTTTATTACCCCTCCCTCTTTTCTTGTCTGGTTCAGCTGGATCATCCACCCCTGTGCCTTTTTGAGTCTCTGTTTTATTACCCCTCCCTTTCTTCTTGTCTGCTTTGGCAGGATCATCCACCCCTGTGCCTTTGTGAGTCTCTGTTTTATTACCCCTTCCTCTCTTTTTGTCCGGTTCAGTTGGATCATCCACCCCTGTGCCTTTGTGAGTCTCTGTTTTATTACCCCTCCCTCTTTTCTTGTCGGGTTCAGCTGAATCATCCACCCCTGTGCCTTTGTGAGTCTCTGTTTTATTACCCCTCCCTTTCTTCTTGTCCAGTTCAGCAGGATCATCCAGCTCAGTGCCTTTGTGAGTCTCTGTTTTATTACCCCTCCCTTTCTTCTTGTATGGTTCAGCTGTATCATCCACCCCTGTGCCTTTGTGAGTCTCTGTTTTATTACCTTTCCCTTTCTTCTTGTCTGGTTCAGCAGGATCATCCAGCTCAGTGCCTTTGTGAGTCTCTGTTTTATTACCCCTCCCTTTCTTCTTGTCTGGTTCAGCTGTATCATCCACCCCTGTGCCTTTGTGACTCTCTGTTTTATTACCCTTCCCTTTCTTCTTGTCTGGTTCAGCAGGATCATCCATCCCTGTGCCTTTGTTTGTTTCTGTTTTATTACCTCTTCCTCTCTTTTTGTCCAGTACAGCAGGATCATCCACCCCAGTGTCTTTGCGAGTCTCTGTTTTATTTCCCCTCCCTTTTTTCTTGTCCAGTTCAGTAGGGTCATCAAGTTGAGTGTCTTTATGAGTCCCTGTTTTATTACCCCTCCCTCTCCTCTTGTCGGGTTCAACTGGATTATCCACCCCTGTGCCTTTGTGAGTCTCTGTTTTATTACCCCTTCCTCTCTTTTTGTCTGGTTCAGCTGGATCATCCACCCCTGTGCCATTGTGAGTCTCTGTTTTATTACCCCTGCCTCTTCTTTTATCGGGTTCAGCTATATTATGAGAATCGATGTTTTCTTGTTTAGCCTTTTTGGGACTAGATTCAGCTATATTCTGGGTATCTTTGCTTCCTTGCTTAGGCTTCTTGGGACTGGATTCATCTTCCACCTTATTTTGTCTTGATCTCTGTCTCTTGCCATTCAGAACTGCTGATTCAGGATTCACTTCACTACTTTGTGAGCTAGATTCCTCTTTAACAACCTTCTTCCCAAGTCCTTTTTTCTTTGTCCCTACTTCAATAGCCTCAGTATTTTCGTCATTATTGCAGTGCTGGACCTTGCTGTCACTAGGTACTGACTTTTCCTGTGCCTGTCTTCCCACTCTTTTCTTTGTAGCTGGAACTTCTGAACCAGTGACATCTTCATCAGGACTTTCTGGCTTAGCTTCCATTTTAACCACCGTCTGCCTTCTCTTTTTTCCAGCTGTCAATGTAACAGTAGCATTAGTATTTTGTTCTTCTGTAAGAGGTGCCTCTGTTCTTGGTTCTGATTTAGTTTGTTTTTTGTCTGCTTTCCCAACTTCACTGGCTGTTGATTCCTTGGCATCTTTCCCTGCTCCACTGGCATCCTTCTTTTGCCTTGATTTTCTTGATACAACAGGTGCATTTGAGTTATCCGTCTCTGTTTTCATATCAGTCACAACTGGTGCAGCTGAGAAGTTAGAATCTTTTTCTTTTTCCACATTTAATTCTACTGGATGGGCTGAATGATCAGGAACAACTTTTTTTGTTGCATTGATTTGGTTCTTCTCTGGCTGAGCAGTGCTGCCATGGCCACAGTGTTTCATGTCTTCTTCCTGTGACTTGCCATTCTGGACTGACTTTACTCCCTCCTTTACCTGAGAATTACTCATTATGGTTGTATCCTTTTCCATCCTTTTCTTCTATTTGTTTATAAGTTGCCAAGACAATTATTATTCCACATCTACAAAAAGTTTTACCAAAATCAGAATCATCAATACAGAATGTAAGAGTGCCAGACAAGAGGCCCATTATAGCCATAAGTTTATAAATCTGACTACCAAGCTTCTCAATAATAATTTTAAATGTATCTTTAATTATTTGATGATATCAATTCATTTGATGTGCACAACTATTCAACTCAAACATCCCTTCAAGTATTTAATGATATTCTCAATTCTGAAATATTGATATCATTATTCTTCCTTGAATTTGATGACATTTATATTATTATTCATCATTATACTTTCTTGTTAAATGCTAAAATCTGATTGGTTTAGATGCATTTAACAATTTGTAATGTTACCCTCAGCATAACAACACACTTGGAAATAGGTAACACAATGATAATGTCACACGTGAGTAAATTACGTGCATACTGTTTGTCATAGATTTCTCAAAATGTCAGTTATATACATGTACTTGAAAAGTCGTATAAAACATAACATCAACAAAAAGCTTGTATCTGATACAAGGGCTGAATGAAAACAAGAACAGACAAAAAATGCTTACAAATGCAGAAATTTAATGAAACATAATTAAAAAGGACTCTTTGAGTATCAAATAAAGAACAAAGAGACAGGTGAATCTTTTTGGAAGCGGAGAGTTTGAAAGCTGTTTTAATAAGATATTTTGATTGATATGTACTTTAATTAGGTAATATAGCATACACAATAATCTTCAGATATTCATTTCAATGTTAGCAATAAGTCGATTACTTTCTGTTGATTTTCTATCATGATTACTACTCTTTTCTTGCATGAACTAATTCATCTTAAGTGTAGCCAAAAATGTGCACAGATTTTTATAAAATTTATCTTGTTTGGAATCGGAGAGTTTTATGACATGATTTATCTCATATGTGTGGTGGATACGACCCATTAGATAAACCTATGCTTTAACCATGGGTATGCTTTATCAATAGCACTTCCAGTTTTGACATAATCAAGATGTAGACTTATTGAAATTTCAATTTGTGAAAGTTCTGTACTATCAGATGAATGTAAATGAGCAAAAAGGTTTGTTACAAACAAGAAAAGTTTCATTTATATACTTCAATGAGATGTCAAATTTCATAAATGATCAACTTATTGTACATTGCTACTGCGCTGACAGATGTTAAATCCCCCCCCCCCCCCCCCATTATCATTATGATAGGAAACTTTAGGCCTAGCAGTTAAATTTTGGTGGAAGATTCATTTGACCATGCAGGAAAGTCTAGCCACTTTCAACAATGCTTTCTTACATTATACTACAGCGTTTTTTTGTTTTTTTTCCTTATATAACTGGTACCAATAAACGGTACCATTCCCAATGCCAAAAAACGTTAATTTTTTCCAATTTTAAAATTAAAAATTCCCAATTCAACTGCCAAGCAACAGACTACGATGACATCGTATTTCTTTTTAAATGAAACACTGTACAAGTTGACTAATTGTTTCACTTCCGCTTAAATTGAAAGTAGAGATTAGTCGAAATATGGTGGGATCTCGGACCAACCTGTGTAGGCAGCATAGTGTCCTACATTTGGACAAACTGAAAGCATGAAAATGCAAAAACAAGGGACATTGATATGAAAAACAATATATACTTGTTGTTTATTCTTTAAAACACAGAGTAATAGGTTATGAGGTTGGAATAAACGGAAAAAATGTTTCATTTGTTTAAATGACAGAAAATCCTCCTTTGTAAGTTTGTTCTACTTCGATGCTATTTTTCCCAATTGAATAGGTACCAGACCCTTTCCTAATGGGTAGAAAAAAATCACTGTACTATGTAACTTACCATGGATCTATAAGTAGCCTAGCATTGCCATTGTCGTCGTACACAGAGTGATTTCAGAGTAGGATTCATGATTCCTCAGTTCTTACAACTGTCAGTCAAAAGTTTGTATGAAATAAATCTCCAACAATTTGTCACAAAAGTTTTAAAAGACCCTACAGATATCATCCCAAGATTTCATATTTAGTACATGATCTACATACAACTTTCTTTCTGTATGTCAACGGCAACATTGCGACATCATCAATTTACGCGTCATCGATTTGGGTTGAAATCATTCATGGTTTCACAAGTGATATCTCAAAGTTTTGTTTAAAACAAAAATCGTATGAGATAAATAGAACATCTTTATTTGTGTGATTTTATATTTGCTTTATCCAACTTGCTGAAATGGACATTCGCCAGTGTTTGAAACTCACCATAAAATTAGCTAGCCATGCAGGGCTGACTGCTAGTGAAAGTCGTCAGTCCTGCCAAAAATCTACTAGACCAAGAACATGTCTTTTATAACTTCGTTTTTAGTGATAATGTGAATGGGCAGTGGTTTTTCTACACCCAATTTAGATCCGAATATCGGCTCTTTCCCAATTTCAGTTGCTTTTTCCCCCAAAATAAATCTGCTGTTGTTTTTGTTATATTGAAAATTTTACATGTCTTATCTAAAACGGAAAGCTATTGTTCTTGGTCATTCAGACACTTAAATTAATGGTTAGGAATAGCAGATTATTTTGTGTATTTACAAGACGTAGAAAAAAACGTTTTGTGTGAATACATCGTAAGAAAGATGCATGTGAACTGACGAAATATAGCTTTATTTGTAAATCAAACTAGTAGTAGTTCTACAACATGCATCCCTGATTCCATGAAAATCAAACTGTTTCTACACCTGGCAGATGCAACTAGTTGGCAGAAAAATTGTGGCAATATGATTAGGGTAAATAATTTGTTAGAAAAATAAATTATTTCTTATAAATCATGTCAGATTATCCTATTTTCAATGGCTATTACAAGAAGGACTTTATAGCTGCAGAACTGTAGCATTATGGTTTTATATTTTAGTCTTTGACCATAGCGCTACAGATCCCGTAATGTAAATAAAGTGCAATTTAGGGAGCAATGCTTTCTGTGCACTTTTAGGATGTATTTCACCATTTTCCAGCATTGGTCAATCAACGACCTTTCATTTCCTAATTCTAGACATATTCTATAACCAACCTGTATATTCTATCCACCTCCTAACCCTTTACAGTTGTCTCTACAGACATTTAAACTCGCTTGTTGTGAATTTTATGCCATCCGACAACAAATTTTACAACAAGCGAGTTTTTTGGCATAATACATCCTCAAAGTGTGCAGAAAATCTTGCACCGTTAATTTGCCTTTTATTTACATTATGGGATCTGTAGCATTATGGTCAAAGACTAAAATATAAAACCATCAGGTCCAGCACAATCTCTTGATTTAACTTTATAGCTTGATTTAGCTATATAGCTTTATTAAGCTATTCAGAATAGCTTGATTTAGCTATTTCATCTCACTTTTTTTCTTAAATGTGTCATTTTCTCAGCATGCACAAAAAGTCGCACTTTGGTGCAGTGATAATATTCAACCTTGAACTCTTCTGAAAATAATGCATGTAAAAATCACTCATCAAATTGTCTCTCCTTAAGAGACTTTGTACTCAAAGTTCTAAAAGTTTTGGGGCTCTGTAAAGCAATTGATACAGTTACTTCTGGTGATGGGAATCGGTAAGAATTCCATAATCGATGATCGGGCTACTGTAACTAACTAATAATCAATTATAATCAGACATTTACAAAGTCTGTCAATTTAGTTTATTAAATGGTAAGAATGGGTGAATAACTACTTTTTGTGGTGGTCCAGCTGTGTCTCAGGACAAGCCTTAGTCCGTTGGACAATATCATTTAAAAGATAGAACGTTCTATCTAGTCCAGCTGGTTCATCATTCATTTTGTAGAATCCAAAGTACGTCCATACCAGGAATGAGCGTTGTTACCCAGGTATTAATACAACGTCTGTTCGTCTGCGCCATTACGATGCACAAATAAGTTAATAGACAAGTCGCGGCTGGAATATTCGGCTTAAAAACTATTATGCTTGTGAAATAAAATAAATAACCCCATTAATCGGAATAAAAATTTTGTAATCAAGCACTTGGATTATGCCAGCAATCGACTGATTTTCGATTATAATCGATGATTGGAACACCACTAGTTACTTCTTCATTGAAATTATAAAAGAGGCCAATTATGGTCAACAAGATAATTGATTGGTAATAATTCAATACAATGAGAAGCAATCATACTTATCCACGCACACAAGGTAGTGTACAGTTACTCAAACAATGTAAATTCATCTTAAAAGTATAGCAATGATAGAACTATCTTTGATTTCTGTTGTTGTTTTGATAGCCCATAGTACGTATATGAATAGTCAAATACTTTCGACTTTTTGTCTATTTTTTACACAAAACATTTTTCTAAAAAACTGCACATAAACAGCTTTATCAAGCTATTTAAATAGCTTAATAAAGCTATATAGATTTTTCAAGCTATATAGCTAAATCAAGAGATTGTGCTGGACCTGACCATAATGCTACAGTTCTGCAGCTATGGACTTTACTATTCAGATATTTTATTTTATTGGTAAAATATATTATTGGTGAAATAGCTACTTCAGAGAAGTGGACATGTTTAGCTTACATGAGATATATAAAGCCTGTCCAATATTCTCTAAAGAGAATTGAAAAGAGACCACTATAACTGTGGTTGTTAGAGAGATGTGAATAAATTTGATTTTTTGCCTACAAAATAGCCAACATATTTAATTTAGGAAATAACAAACGTCAAGAAAATATCATGAATCTGTTCAGACAACTGAAAACAAGCGTACAATTCAGTTACCTATGATTTGAATCCAGCTACCTACTCTGTTGGTCTTTCCCGCCACTGGTGTTGCATATTATCAGGAACTCGGTCCCGATCAAAATTCACGCTATTTCGATATGTACAGTAAAATGAAACTTTTTTTTATTAACTTAACATTCATTGAATTTTCATTATGATATTAATGTTGACATTAAAACAATGAAAAAAAGTATTACACATTATTTGTCCAAATTCTTGTCCATCATGAAAGAATTATATCTCCA